CCTCTCCCTCCCCCTCCTTACTGCCCTCCTGACCAATACATTTGATCAGTTCACCCCTACTAGTGAACTTCTGCAGCTTGTGGTTACTGCTCACATAAATATTGTCCGTATCATCAGTTGCTATGCCTGCAGGTCGTATCATCTGATTTGGACTGTCACCACATGATCCAAATGTTCGGATTTTCTGTTCTCTGATGTCAAAGATAGACAATCTATGACCCCCACATTCACTGACAATCATCTCCTGGTGACTCTTGAAGGCAATGCCATATGGACAGTCCAATCCAGTCACAGTCACAGGGTGGCCTAGTTGTCTGGGGTCAGGGTACACGGTCACAGTGAAGGCGCTGCCATTGATTTCTCTGTCATTGATTTGAACATGGAGTTTGTTTTGGCCTCGACTGACTGGTGTGTATGACACCTCGTATTGGGAGGGAGATGTCGTGGCAACCGATACACGCGATTCATTGGGCCACCTTGTTTTAGTTCTTGTGGCTTTTGAAACGAGAGCAAGTTGTGCGGTGACATTCAGTGGAAGTGAGTGTGGTCTACCACTAGAGTCAGTTAGTTGGACTAGGACGTGTGTTGGTTGGTTGACTGTGGCTGATGTTAGACCAGGTCCACTGACCTGACATGTGTAGGACGCTGACTGCTGGGACAGAGAGAAAGGGAGAGAGAAATGAAAGGGAGAAATGGGGAATAATATGGTGGTGATTAATAAGAGTATACACACAATACTACTAGTATACCTATAGAAATTCCTAAAGATATTCATAGTCTGTGGTTATGAGTTAATATTCATAGCATACCTTTCCCCCCAGTTGCTGCTGAAGCAGAGCTATCTCCCTGTCCTTGGCCTGCACTAACTCAGTCTCCTGCAGTCAGGAGGACCTCTAGTCACAACACACAACTCCACACACTAGACTAACTCTCTGTCTCATCTCCTGAATCTGCTGCTGCTCTCTCCTGATAGTCTCCTCTGCCCTCGTCACCTCTGCCTCCTTTCTCGTCAGCTCTGCTTTATTTCTCGTCATCTCTGTCTCCTGCAGAAACCAAGAGGGAGAGCAAACCTCAAACCACTATGCTATGGCACAGTATACTCTCACTCAGTATGTAGGAGCAGACTGGGGTAACTAAACCACCAAAAGACGCCCAACTCCAAACTTAAGTATACGCATGCAAGCATCATGACTTCATAAAACACTCAGTTGATTCTGCTGAATGCTAAACACAATTTAACGGAATGAACCTTTTGTATCAACTGCTGCCGAGTTTCAGCCAAGTCAACTTCCTTTCTTGTCAGCTCTTGTCTGAGTGTCTGCTTCTCCGTCTCAGTTTCCTGGTCCTACAATACCCGCATACTAAAATATATTCTCCCATACTGTACTACCTTACGCATCATGACTTTATAAAAACATGCTAAATGCTCAACACAAGTTTTATTTTCAATACACAACCTTTTGTATCAACTGTTGCCGAGTTTCAGCCAAGTCAACTTCCTTTCTTTTCAGCTCTTGTCTGAGCGCTTGCTTCTCTCTCTCACTTTCCTCATCCTACAACAGTCAACATAGTTAAATATATTCCCTAAGTCTGCTATACACTGTGCTCTATACCTTCCGAGCAATCTCCCTGTCTTTGGTCTGCACACGGGACTGGAGATGAGCATTCTCTGTCACCAGGTCTCGGAAAACATGCTCCAAATTCTGGTAGAATCACAAGAGTTTTTGTCAACACATCAACTCATACCTAATGGATGTGCAGTCCCTCACCTGGTTCCTGGGCTGGGTCTGAAGAGCTCGTACCAGTTCACGTTTGTTCCTCTCACTCCCTTCATCTCTAACACCAGCTCTGGCCTCGTCCAACAGACGAAGCACCTCACCAATACCTGGCCTCTTGGATGGGAGATTGTGCAGGCATTGCTGGATCAGCCGAATGAGAGGGTGGTCCCCACGGAGCTGGCCACAGGCACGGAGTTGCTCGTTTACGTTTCGCATGTAATGGCTGCGTCGCTGTAGTTCAGTGCGACCTAACAGCACTCCACTCTTTTCGTCAAAGTAGTTGTGCTCTAGAGGATCACAGGGGAAGACTTCACCGATTGCGAAAATGGTGACAACTCCAAGCGAGAATACATCGATGCTGGCATCGTATTTTGACTTTTCTATATTAGATCGAGATGGTGCAAAAGCCTCTGGAGGCATGTAGACTGAGGCCCCAGGCCCCTTTGTCATGGTAGCTGCAGCTCTGACATGAGGAACGATACGAGCCACGCCCAGGTCCGCTATCTTGGCCACTATCTCCGAGTCCAGGAGAACGTTTCTGGCCGACAAGTCGCGGTGGATGACGGGCGATGATCGCTCGTGGAGGTAGGCTAGGCCACAGGCTACGTTGTGTAGTACGGAGCACTTGAGAGCCATGGAGAATAAAGATAGCGGTGTGACGGCGCCGGACGGAGGGGGCGGGTCCGGAGCCAGCAAATCGTGAAGACTTGTCAGCAGTCGCTCCATGACGAGGGCTGGCAGTCGCGAGCCGGGAAAGAAAGCGACGCCCAGAAACTGGACGATGTTCGGGTGGCGGAGGGTGCTCATAAGCTGGCATTTCCTCACGAACTGGGTCGCCTTAGGCAGTCCGGCGGTCGTTGCATCCCCTTCTTGCAAGATGGGGTAGATTGTTTTGGCGGCGGCGCCCACAGGAACGACCACCTCCTCCACTTTGCCGTAGGCTCCGCTGCCGATTCTGGTTCCAGTGAGCTGGACGTCGGAGAGAACGAAGGGCCTCAGCCCTGGATGGTCGCGGAGAAACTCTTCAGCCATGTTTTAGACAATACCAGCCCCACCCAATTTGCTCTATTGCGCATGCGCCAGCGTTGTACACAGCAGTGATGATTGATGGCCACGGCGGAGTTTGGAGTTTGGAGAAAATGGTTGGCGGAGCGTAATACAGGGGCGCATCTTACAGCATTGTGGATTATGTTGAAAATGAGCACTAGAAAGAAAGTTCACAGAGAAAGTTAGTGAGTAGATGCTTTTCTCTTTCGTTAAGGCCAGTCTCACTCCCTCCCTTCCCTCCTCCCGACTTCTTCTCTCTCTTCTTCAGACCATCGATGTTGGCCTTCAGCACATTAGCATACGCCTACACACATCATAAATTATAGTAGAAAGAAGAGCACTCTTAATCTTACACTATGACTCAAATGGTGAAACTTTTGAAAAAGGACCCTCTGAAAAGAGGACACCTCTCTACACAGGACACTCTGTTCTGCCCCTATATTAAATGTATTACAGAACCTGAGTAAGGGACACCTCTCTACACAGGACACTCTGTTCAGCCCCTATATTTAATGTATTACAGAACCTGAGTAAGGGACACCTCTCTACAAAGGACACTCTGTTCTGCCCCTATATTTAATGTATTGCAGAACCTGAGTAAGGGACACCTCTCTACAAAGGACACTCTGTTCTGCCCCTATATTTAATGTATTACAGAACCTGAGTAAGGGACACCTCTCTACAAAGGACACTCTGTTCTGCCCCTATATTAAATGTATTACAGAACCTGAGTAAGGGGACACCCTCTCTACACAGGACACTCTGTTCAGACTATATTTAATGTATTACAGAACCTGAGTAAGGGACACCTCTACACAGGACACTCTGTTCTGCCCCTATATTTAATGTATTACAGAACCGGAGTAAGGGACACTCTACACCGGACACTCTGTTCTGCCACCCTATATTTAATGTATGACAGAACCTGAGTAGGGGACACCTCTCTACAAAGGCACACTCTGTCTGCCCCTATGATTTAATGTATTAGGCAGAACTCTGAGTAAGGGACACCTCTCTACACAGGAATTTGTTCTGCCCCTATATGGTACTGCTACAGAACGGAGTAAGGGACACCTCTCTACAAAGGACACTGGTTTCTGCCCCTTATATATAAATGTATTACAGGAACCTGAGTAAGGGATCACCTCTCTACAAGGACACTCTGTTCTGCTCCTATAATTATGTATTACAGAACCTGAGTAGGGACACCTCTCTACACAGGACACTCTGTTCTGCTCCCTATATTAATGTACTCACAGAACCTGAGTAAGGGAGCACCTCTCTACCAGGACACTTGTTCTGCTCCTATATTTCAGTGTATTAACAGACCTGAGTAAGGACACCTCTACACGGACACTCTGTACTGTTCTTGCCCCTATATTTAATGTATTACAGACGAGTAAGGGACACCTCTCTACACAGGACACTCTGTTCTGCCCCTATATTATGTATTCCAGAACCTGAGTAAGGGACACCTCTCTACAAGGAACACTTTGTTCTGCCCCTATATTTAATGTATTACAGACCTGAGTAAGGGACACCTCCTCTACAAGGCACTCTGTCTGCCCCTATATATGTATTGCACAGACCTGAGTAAGGACACCTCTCTACAAAGGACACTCTGTTCTGCCACCCCTATATTTAATGTATTACAGAACCTGAGTAAGGGACACCTCTCTACAAAGGACACCTTTGTTCTGCCCCTATATTTAATGGTATTAGCAGAACCTGAGTAGGGAGACCTCTCTACAAAGGACACTCTGTTCTGCCCCTATATTTAATGCTATTACAGAACCTGAGTAAGGAGACACCTCTCTACACGACGCTCTCTGCTCTGCTGCCCTATATTTACTGTATTTACAGAACCTGACGTAAGGCAACCTCTCTACAAAGGACACTCTGTTCGCCCTAGATAATGTATTACAGAGACCTGAGTAAGGGACCACCTCTCTACAAAGGACACTTTGTTACTGCCCCCTATATTTAATGTATTACAGAACCTGAGTAAGGGGACCTCTCTCACAAAGGATCACTCTGTTCATCGGCGCCTCATAAAAACACATTAATTTAATGTATTGCAGAACCTGAGTAAGCCGATGCTACTGTAAAGGTGTACGGGTTTCAGATGGAGAGTTCGGTTGTTATGGGACCAGACTAAAAGGTAGAACATCTGAGTAAGGGACATCTCTAAATAAAAGAAAAGTCTGATGTTTTCAAGGTGTCCCTTATTCTTGTAGAAGAGGACAAACTCCATTAGTATGAATAGCAAACATTTCCAGTAACTTTTCTCTCCCTCTCTTCCACTCACCATCTGAAACTTGGTGACCTCTCTGGCGCTGACGACGGTACTGATGTGTTTCTTCCCATTGCCAGCTCTCAGGAGACAGAGATGATCATCTGATTTTCCTCTTTGAGTGGATAAGGTGTTTTTCCTTTTTTATTGCACATTATTTGTTAACCCTCTATATATCCAGTTTTCACAGATGAGCAACCAGCACGAGCAGCCTATCAAACTGCTAAGCTACCAAAGGTGGGGGAATGACGTGTGTTTTTGTCCTGATTATGTCTGGATCTTGTCGTGCAGGCAGTGAAAGTGGAAATTGAAGCCATTGCTATTGTCGGGGACGTGCAGCATATGTGAACATTAACCTAGTATGCACTTAGCTGTGAAAAACTCTACTACTTTAACCAGGCCAGGCTACGTGTGCAACATAAGTTTATGCAAAAGTTCACTGTAATTATAGAATATCTTAGTCCCGAGTTGTGATTGATCATTAACCCATTGGAAGCCATGGATATCTGCTTAAATAAGCAGAAATTGATGTATAGTGTATTAGCACCTAGTATTATAACCCCCATATTGTATTCTCATGTTTGAGTTAATTTTTGCTCACACTGGTGTAGCGATTGGAGCTTGAACTCTTTAGTAAAGCAAAAGTATAATAGTCTTTGGTATTTCCCATTGAGCGTTTTTTGTGATTGACCATTGATTTTGCTCACACTGTGCGGGTGTTGGGTAGCGAATGGGAATTTAACCCTTTGGTGGCCTCTGAAGAGTGCGCCAGAGACAGTGTACTCAACAATGTATCATTCAGTGGATGAGTGTTGATAGAGAATAATTATAGTTACAAACATGAAATACAATTAAACAATGCTTATTATATGCTACTAGACGATAGTGCATACAATAACATGAAACATGAGATAATAAGGAATTGTGGTTTTATAAGAAATTGTGTTAAAGGAGAGCAACAGTAGTAAGACAAACAATAATATTGTACAAAATGTCTTTGTTCAGACAATACAGTAGCATTGGGTGTTCTAGAATATCTGAACTCTTTTGTTAACAAAGTCACATACATGTATAAAACCATCAACACAAGAGGTGATACAGAATGGATCACGAAACTCTCCCTCTTCCTTACCATACCTTCCAAATGAGGTGACAAACTGACCTGAGGTCTCATACACTACAATACAATCACCATTGAAATCAGACACATACACATACTTGTCAACAATATGAAGACTTGATGGCCAACAATCTTTTCGCTCTCCTTCTGACGAAATACTCGTATGAATTGGCCACTGGTGTCCATTACTTGCACTCTCCCATTACCAAACTCAGCTACATACATGTTCCCGGCAGTGTCAAATTTGACATCATATGGTGCATCGAATTCACCTCTTCCTTTGCCACATGAGCCGATGGATCGGACAAAGTTCAAGTCGGGGTCAAACACCTGAATGCGATGGTTATTGCCATCACACACATACACTTGATTGTCATACAGTGTCACTCCACGTGGATCATCAAAACTCCCCCTCCTTCTGCCCTCAGACCAATACATTTGATCAGTTCACCCCTGCAGTGAACTTCTGCAGCTTGTGGTACTGCTCACATAAATATTGTCAGTATCATCAGTTGCTATGCCTGCAGGGTATTTCATCTGATCTGGACTGTCACCACCTGATCCAAATGTTCGAATTTCTGTCCTCTGATGTCAAAGATAGACACTCTATGACCCAAATATTCACTGACAATCATCTCCTGAGGACTGTTGAAGGCAATGCCATATGGAGAGTTCAATCCAGTCACAGTCCTCACTGGGTGGCCTAGTTGTCTGGGGTCAGGGTACACGGTCACTAGTGAAGGGGCTGACCATTGATTTCTCTGTCGTTGACTTGAACATGGAGTTGTGTGTGCCTCGACTGACTGGTGTGTACGACACCTGGTATTGGGAGGGAGACGTCATGGCAACCTGATACACGTGATTCATTGCGATGTTTCTTGTTTTTTGGACCAAGGCCACCATGCTCTAGTGCTTGTGGCCTCAGTGTGATTTGTGGGTGTGGCTTGTTGAAATGGAGCTCAAGTTGTGCGGTGACATACAGTGGCGAGTGAGTATGGTCTACCACTCGAGTCAGTTAGTTGCGACTAGGACGTGTGTTGGTTGGTTGACTGTGGCTGATGTTAGACCAGGTCCACTGACATGACATGTGTAGGACGCTGACTGCTGGGACAGAGAGGAAAGGGAGAGAGAGAAATGAAAGGGAGAAATGGGGAATGATATGGTGGTCATTAATAAGAGTATACACACCAATACTCTAGACTAGCTACGGACTATTCCTACAGACTATTCATAGTCTGTGATTATGAGTCAATATTCATAGCATACCCTTTTCCCCCAGGCTGCTGCTGAAGCAGAGCTATACTCCCTGTCCTTGGCCTGCACCCCTAACTCAGTCTCCTGCAGTCAGGAGGACCTCTAGTCAACACAAACACACAACTCCACACACTAGGACTAACTCTCTGTCTCATCTCCTGAATCTGCTGCTGCTCTCTCCAGATAGTTCCTATTGCCCTCGTCACCTAATGCCCTTGCTTTCTCGTCAGCTCTTCTTCCTCTGCGGAAACCAAGAGGGAGAATTTAAAAGCTCATGAAAAAAAATATATA